CCCCCCCCCAATTGAATCTGTGGTTTAGCTCTGCCTTGGATTTGCTGCCATCTTGTTTGCTTTTTACCTGGAGTGTCTCTTTAAGATCTTTCTTGAGATGCCTAAAAGGCCAGGGCTTGGCACTCCTGTCACATGGGTGAGGTTTCAGCTGTCGCTTTTGATTAAACCATTGGTAAACAGCCTTCCTGAACTTCCTGGTGATCCTTTCTGCTCTGCTGCTTTCCATAGGTGCAATGTGGCTGAGATACCGAGGGGCATGTCAGCCTCTCCTCTTAGTGCTCTTGGAAGACAACAGGTTCAGAACCTCAGATCTCCCTTTCTCCCTGGTCTTATCATAGAACTGGAAGAGACCTCAGGAGGTCATCAAGTCCAGCCCCCTGCTCTAGGCAGGACCAATTCCAACTAAATCAACCTGGCCAGGGCTTTGTCAAGCCGAGACTTAAAACACCTCTAGGGATGGAGACTCCACTACTTCCCTAGGTAACCCATTCCAGTGCTTCACCACCCTCCTAGGGAAATAGTTTTTCCTAATATCCAACCTGGACCTCTCCCACCACAACTTGAGACCATTGCTCCTTGTTCTACCATCTGTCACCACTGAGAACAGCCTCTCTCCAGCCTCTTTGGAACCTCCCTTCAGGAAGTTGAAGGCTGCTCTCAAATCCCCCCTCCCTCTTCGCTTCTGCAGACTAAATAGACCCAAGTCCCTCAGCCTCTCCTCATAAGTCATATGCTCCAGCCCCCTAATCATTTTGGTTGCCCTCTGCTGGACCCTCTCCACATCCTTTTTGTAGTGGGGGGCCCAGAACTGGACACAATACTCCAGATGCGGCCTCACCAAAGCAGAATAAAGGGGAATAATGACATCTCTGGATCTGCTGGCAATGCTCCTCTTAATGCAGCCTAATACGCCATTAGCCTTCTTGGCTACAAGGGCACACTCTTGACTCATCTCCAGCTTCTCATCCACTGTAACCCCCAGGTCCTTTTCTACAGAACTGCTACTTAACCGGTTGGTCCCCAGCCTGTACCAATGCTTGGGATTCTTCCGTCCCAAGGGCAGGACTCTGCACTTGTCCTTGTTGAACCTCAGCAGATTTCTTGTGGCCCAATCCTCCAGTTTGTCTGTCACTCTGTCTTAGTACAAATAGAAGAGCTCAACTGAGTGTGAGTAATGGATTCCCTGGGCAATGTAAGGAGGGGCAGGGTCCGAGGGAAGGAAAGGTGGGCCCGGTGAGCTGGTCATAGTGCTGGGCGGAGGGCTCTAGTGCTTAGTGCGCAGTGGGGATAAGGGCTCTGAGCCCCCCGCCCCTCTCCCGGGGACGCGTTACTGCTGCCCTGGCTGAAATCGAAGCAGCGGCGCGCGCGGGTCCCTTCTGCGGGGTGGGGAGGGGGGGCAGGGCGCTGATGGGCCGGGCCGCCCTGCGGGGTCGCCTCGCCGCGTGCCCAGGG